ACCAAAGTAAAAGATAGAGCAACTTGCTTATGCTGTATGAAAGAGTGTGTTGATTAGTTGGTAAGTGGACTTAGAAGAAGTGTTGCCATGGAGAATGTACCAGTTACATGATCACTGACTGATAACTGTCAGGTTTTTGGTGATTGCAGGTTTAAACAGGTGGAATGTGGAAGGCCAGCAAGAAGAGCATTGCAATAGTCAAGCCTAGAGGTGACAAAGTAACAAACAAATGTTTCAGTAGGCCATCAATCTTAAAAAATTAGCTGGTTTCCCCCCCCACCAAGACCGATCTCAAAACTCCGTGAACTTGGTGTTGGCGCTACCCTCTGCAACTGGATCCTCAGCTTTCTGACCTATGGGCCACAGGGAGGATAGGTAACTGCACCTCCTCCACAATAACAACACTGAAACCCCCTCCCCCCCCCCACAACACCACCCTAGTGGGACAGATATCTAACAACAATGAGTCAAACTACAGAAGGTAGAGAGAGGGTTTGGCAACATGGTGCAATGAAAACAATCTGTCTCTCAATGCCGGCAAAACTAAAGAACTGATCATTGACTTGATAAAGGAGGAGCACACACCCCCATCTACATCAATGGGACTGAGGTTGAGAGGGTGAAGAGCATCAAGTTTCTCAGTGACGATAACCAAGGACCTGTCCTGAAATTTCCCATGTAGATGTGACAGTCAAGGCGGCACAACAATGCCTCTTCTTCCTCAGGTAGCTCAGGAAATTTGGCATGTCCATAAGGTCTCTCATCAACTTCTACAGATGCACCATTGAAAGCATGCTGCACAATGAGATAACAAGGTGCAGAGCTGGATGAACACAGCAGACCAAGCAGCAGAGGTGCAGGAAAGTGCATATTGGCCTGGTTTGGCAACTGCTCTGCTCAGGACCGTAAGAAGACGGCATGTACAGCCCAGACCATCATGGAAGCCAACCTTCCATCCACAGACTCTACTTACACAGCTCACTGCCGCGGAAAGACGGCCAAAGACCTATTGCACCCTGGTAATGATCTCCTACAACCTCTTCCATCAGGCAGGAGATACAGAAGCCTGAACACGCACACAGGTTAAGGAGCAGCTTCTTCCTAGCCGTTATCAGACTAATGAATGGACTCTTCACACACTTTAGCCTCAAATAATGCTGATCTTGCTAACGTTGATCTCACCAGCACACGCCCTGTGCAATGTAACTTGTATGCCTTTAAGTCTTTTTGATCTGTACATCCTTTGCTTTTACTGGGATCTGCCTGTACCACTTATAAACAAAGCTTTTCACTGTATTTCAGTACATATGACAATAAATAAAAGTCAGACGCTGCCTGACCTACTGAATGTTCCTAGTATTTTGTCTTTAATTCATAAATCTGTTTGTTTGTTTTAAACTTAAGGAATTTCCCAAATTTGGGTTTAAAAATACTTCTACTCAAGGTAAATCTGAAAACAAAAAGTTTACAGATTCAATGCTCAATCTGTTTAGATTTAGCTTGTTACAGCCTGTGTGACAGTCAGTCAGTCGTTGCAATTAGATTACAGACATGGAAATCAGCCACAATTTCTAATGACTGCAAATAACTTCATATCTCTAAATTTTGGAAGGGGCAGGATTGGGCTACGTTTTTCGACAGCTGAATAACCAGAAAGTTGTCAACACTAAGAATGGTTAATTGGAAGAAATACTGACATGCAATCAAATCCGTGCTGGGGCCACAGTTATTTACATGTTAATAATTTAGATGAGTAAAGTGAACGTACTATGACCCAGTTTGCTGATGACACACAAAGATGGGAGGGAAGGCAAGTGGTAAGGATGACAAAGTACGCAAAGTAAGGTTAAATGAGAGGACAAAAATTTATCAAATGAAACATATTGCGGGGAAATGGGAGGCTATGCATTTGAGGAAGAATAGTGAAGTGAATATTACTTAAATGGAGAAAAGCTGAAAAACTGCAGAAAGCTGCGCAAGAGGGATTTGGGAGTGCTCGTCCACGAATCACAGCAAAGCATGCATCCAAGTTCAATGAGTAATAAGGAAGATAAATGGAATGGTAGCCTTTACTTCAAGGGGAATGAAGTACAAAAGTAAGGAGGTTTTGCTAAAAACTATATAAAAGGCACCAGTCAGACCACAGCTGGAATATGATTTTGGGCCCTTTATGTAAAGAAAGGTATAATAAGCATTGGAAGCAGTTCAGAGAAGGTTCACTGGGCCGATACCAGGTATGGAGGTACCATCTTATGGGGAGAGGTTGAGTAAATTAGGCCTGCACACATTGGAATATAGAACAATGACAGGCTGAAAATACTGAACTCATTAAATAAAAACTGAAAAAATTTTTTAAAAAGGAGGAAAATAGGGAAAAGGTGGAGCAATGTGATTAGCTTTGAACTGTTCTAGCAGTGTTGGCATAAATGAGGGGCCAAGCAGCCCCTTATGCAACAAAATTAGGATTCTAAAAACTCAAGAACAGAAGCAAATGGTTTGAGGATGTAATGGTTGGGAAAATTGCTATTTAAAGCAAATTAGAGTGTGCAATCCTACCTGATAATAAGCTGCCCTCTGCAACTGGTGGGTTCCTTGTTCAACGTGTACTTCTGCACTCTCCACATTTGCTTCTATGCTATCTGCAAGAAGTAGGATAGTACTGTTAAAGAAAGCCTTTAACCTTGAATGCAAACAAAGAGAAAGTGTTTGATATAAAATAAGTAACAGTTTCACAGAGGCATCTTTAACAGTGGAGAGGTGGCAGATCTATTTGAGGTTGGAGACAGTCAAAAAGGATTAACACCTGATGGTGGACTGTGACTGCAGCCACAGACAAGAACGCCAAAGCAGTCAGTTAGATTTGATAAATACAAATAACCAGACTTTCATCAATTAGTAAAATGACTGAGGTAGGGCTGTGTACAAGAACAGTCACAGACACATGGCTCAAAAGGAAGCCAATTAGCTTAATGTCCTTGCTTACTTCAACTTTGATCCTTTAACAGTAGGCCAGCTTCCTACTTCTTTCCTGATGTCTCTTGATAAATAGTTCTTTTACAAAATCTTCCCTTTAATGACTGTTTACTAGCTCTTAGGGACAACTACACCACCATCATTTTAAGATGCAGACTGGAAACCAAGGAGCTTGTAGTTGTTTAAAATGACATCGACAGAACGTAAACAGAATTGTACGCAGACAAAAAAATAAATCACCTCACCCTGCCCAAGTTGTCAGGCCAGGCCAGACCTTTCCTAAAAACTTAAAATGATATAGTGCCTTGTGTTAATGAGTTCTCAGTTTAATTACAGCAATGTCTACACAAAAAAAAACACCCCTTTCTCTTTTGCTCTGAGGCATCTTTCTCATATTTCATTTGCTACTCCATCTCCATTGCACAAAAATCACAAAAAAACATTTCTAGCCCCCTCCAGTTCAAAAGGAGAATTAAACTAGATTCTAAACATTAACTGTTTCTTTCACCACAGATGCTGCTAAACCTACTACGCTTTATTTCAGATCTTCAGCAACTATAGTACTGTGCTTTTAAAGTAAAAGCACTTTTTAATTGTTTGGGATATCATAAGGTTAAGAAAGGGGCTTGTATAATGCCTTTTTAAAAACAAAAAATTGGCAATTGCATTCAAAACTTGGAGGGCTGCTGTGGGAATTTTTGAAAATTATACTCGTGTAGAAGAGGTTATTTTCTCAGATTTGGGCCAACCACATTCTGTTCTGCAGAACTAAAATGCTTTAGTCTGTATTTGCTTCAAAGCAAGAAGTATAACAGGTAAGACGGGTGAACTTAGAGCCTGGATTAATGTATGCAATGACGATGTTGCTATCACAGAGACATTGTTGAAAGGAGGGACAGAATTAGTAGCTTAATGTTCCGGGAAAATGACGTTTTAAACGAGGTAGAGGAGGAAACAGAAGAGGTGGAGAAGTTGCATTACTGGTTAGGGAGTGTATCACAACGGTGTTGAGGGAGGACACCCTGGAGGGATCTTGCAGCAAGGCATATTGGGTAGAACTCAGGAATAGGAAGGTGTAATCATGATGCTGGGACTAAAGACCTTCCCAGCTCCCAGCAGGAGACAGAGGAAGAGATAGGCAGTCAGATTCTGAAAAGATGTGAAAGTGACAGGGTTGTTGTGCTGGGTGATTTTAACTTCTCCCATATTGACTGGGACTCCCTTAGTGCCAGGGGGTTTGAATGGGGAGCAGTTTGTTAGGTGTGTCAAGAGAGTTTTTGAAACAGTATGTGGACAGTCCAACCAGGGAGGGGGTCCATATAGGACTTGGTATTGGGAAATGAGCCCAGCCAGGTGATCAAAGTTTCAGTAGGGAAGCATTTTGGGAATAATGACTGTAATTCCATAACTTTTTTGATACTTATGGATAAGGACAAGAATGGACCTTGGATGAAGGTGTTAAATTGGGGGGATCCCAATTATAACCGAATAATAAGAATTGGAGAATATGGATTGGGAGTGGCTGTTTGAGGGCAAGTCCATATCTGACATATGGGAGTCTTTTAAACACCAGTTGATTTGAGTGCAGGGCAGGCACATTCCTGTGAAAATGAAGGACAGGAATGGCAGGTCTTAGAAACCTTGAATGACAGGGAAATTATCGGCTCAGTCAAAAAAAAAAAGATATATCTAATGTCTAGGCAACTAAAAACAGGCAAAGTCCTTGAAGAATACACAAAGTACGAAGGAGCTCAAGCAGGGGGTTAGGAGGGCTAAAAGGGGCTATGAAATGTCCTTAAGCCAGCAGGGCAAAAGGAGACACCCAAGGCATCTTATACATATATTAGGAGCAAGAGGGTAGCTAAGGAAAGAGTAGGTCCACTCAAGGATAAAAGGAGGGAGGCTGTGTGTGGAGCTGGAGGAAATGGGGGAGATCCTTACTGAGTACTTTACATTGGTATTCATCGATGGAATGGCATGTGAGGGATATTGAGGTTAGTAAAAAGGTAGGTGAATACTCTCGGGGAGGTCAAAAAAATGGAGGAAATGTTGGGTGTCTTGAAATACATTAAGGTAGACAAGTTTTCTGGGGATCTATCCCTGGATATTGTGAGAAGCAAGGAAGGAAACAGCTGGGGCCTTAACAGATATCTTTGCATCCTCTTTGGCCTCGGGCAAGGTTCCAGAGGACTGGAGAATGGCTAGCATTGTTCCTTTGTTTAAGAAGGGCAACAGATAAACCAGGTGATTACAGGCCAGTGAACCTGATGTCAGTAGTGGGGAAGTTGAAGATAGAGAGACAGGATTTATTCACATTTGGAAGCAAATAGACTGGTTAGCGATAGGCAGCATGGGTTTGTGCTGGGGAGGACATGTCTCACTAATTTGACTGAGTTGTCTCAGGAGGTCACAAGAATGATTGATGAGGGAAGGGCAGTAGATGTTGTCTGCATGGACTTTAAGGCATTTGATAAGGTACCTCATGGCAGGCTGGTAGAGAAGGTAGTCTCATGGGATCTGGGTGAGCTGGCTAGAGGATAAGTGACCTGGACGAAAAATGTAGATGGTCTGATTAGTAATTTTGCAGACAACACCAAAACTGGCAGAGTTGCAGATAGTGTGGAGGATAGTCAAAGGATACAATGGGATAGCGATAGATTGCAGATTTGGGCACAGAAATGACAGATGGAGTTTAATCTGGACAAATGCAGGAAGATACATTTTGGAAGATCAAATTCAGGTGCGAATTATACAATAAGTGGCAGAACCTTTAGGAGCATTGTCAGAGGGATCTGGGTGTACAGGTCCACAAATCCCTGAAAGTGGCAACACAGGTAGATAAGGTGGGCAAGAAGGTGTACAGCGTACTTCATCAGCTGGGGCAAAGAATATAAAAGTTGGCAAGTTTTGTTACAGCTTAAAAACTTTAGTTAGGCCAAATATGGAATATTGTGGGCAGTTCTGGTTGCCACACTACCAGAACAATGTGGATGTTTTGAAGTGGGTGCACAGAAGGTTTACCAGGGTGTTGCCTGGTTTGAAAGGTTTTCATTACAAGGAGAGGTTTGGTAAACTCAGATCGTTTTCACTGGAAAGATGGAGGCTGAGGGGTAACCTGAAAGAAGTCTACAAAATTATGAGGAATGGATAAGGTACATAGTCAGAGGCTTTTTCCAAGAGGAGTGGTAAAGATTAACTATAAAAGAGGGCACTGGTTCAAGGTGAGAGAGGGAAAGTTTAAGGGAGAAGTGGAGGAAAAAATGTTTCAGAGGGTGGTGGGTGCCTGGAATGCATACTAGTGGAAATGGTGGAAGCAATGTTTAAGGCACATCTTGATAGACATGAATGGGAGGCACAGGGATAGAAAATTGGGCATGGGCAATAAGTAGCGGTCTAAATAAGATTAGGAATTGCCACAGGCTTGGTGGCAGAACGGCCTGTTCCTGTGCTGTAATGAATTGTATCCAAGAGTGCTACAGCTGGCCTGGGTCCATGATGCTGAAATAGGGGAATTACAATTTCCAGCATCATGATTTTCAACCTGATGAACGTAAAGGTCATACAAAAGGGAAGCATTTAAGAGTAATAATTTACCAATCATGTCTCCTTGATCATGGATCATCATTGCCAAGTCTTTAAAAATCTGGTTGACATCCAAGATGTTAGCCTGGAAAAGAGAATAAAGTAGTTTGAACATTCTGCTTACATTAAATCAAGATGAAAGTCTACACAATATACAACAGACGTCAACACCTTATAACAGGTACAACTTAAATTGTTCCAGTGCTCATTCACCCTATAGGGGCCATTTCTAGTGTTGGTGAGCATGTTGTGTACGAAGTATCAAACACATTGGGCACATATAATGCATGAGGTGGGAGAAACATAAGAGACACTAGCTCAAATAAGACGTGGTGACGTTATTGAAGCAACAAACTAATTCTCTTAGCTATCTCTGCCTTCCACACCCAGGGGCTACACAGAAATACATTTTCAAAGTAGAATTGCAGTGATTCAAATGTAAGAATACCAAAATTTATGACAATTTGCAAACTGATAATTAACAGAACTTGCGTCGGTCAACTTGTGGTCCCCTTATATCCCACAAACGTCAAAGACTTATTACTTATATATGTTTGAATGGACAAATTAAAACCAAACCTCAAGTTGTCGGATTGCTGTCTCTCGTTCCTTGATGAGTTCCAGATCTTCTTCAGTTATTGCAACCTCTTGAGATTGAGCTTGTGTCTGACTCCAGTCTTCATTACTAAGAAAATAAAATCGTTAATTTAGCATAAGTTTTAAAATATGCTTCTGTGACAAATGTGTGTTTACCAGAAGGATATCAGTGCTACAGAACAAGGGCATTTGAAGTTCCCAATATTTTACCCCAATTTTCGATTCATACCTCAAAATCTAACAAATGTGTGAATCTAATTCCAAACATCAGGTACTTTTCCAACCTTGAGTCACAGCATCTACTTAATTAAAATTTTGATTGAGATGGCCATAAGTATGTTAGTGTACTAAACCCACAGTTGGACAGGGGTAACCTTTACCCAATGGGAGGCAGTGTCTAACAATAATTCCACTAAGATTAGGAATCCAGAGAGCCAGATAACATTCTGGGACTTTTGGTTCAAACTCTGCCATGGCAAATGGTGGAATGGGAATAAAAATCTGTAATTAGAATCTAATGATGAAGATGAAACCACTGTCAACTGTTGGGGATTAAAACATGTCTTTTAGGGAAGGAAATCTGCCGTCCTTACCCAGTCTAGCCTACACATCACTCCAGACTCTCAGGAATATGGTTGACTCAATTGCTCAATGGGCATTTATGGTGAGGCAATAAATGATGGCAACATGCCCATGGATGAACTAAAAAAATTCACCCAAATAGGTTTATAACTGAATTCCAGAAGAGAAAAAGCAAACTATTCCTATTTCAGCAACAAGCTCCCATCAAGAATGTTCTAAGGAGTTTTTCTGACAACCACATTTGGTACTGTTATGATCTTGTTTACTGCTTGAACAGGTCAAAAACCAACTTGAAATCTACTTGATCTATCAAATTTCATTTTTGCAGATTTGTTACTGCAGTCAATCACTGAACATATTCAAATGAAGTCACTAATGTCCTTTTAACAAAAAAAATTGGTTTATAACAAAAACTATATGAAAAGGCAATTTAGAAAGATCATAAACTCCTTTCTCAGCTATGCCCATCACAGTCACTCAATCCATTAAGTATTAGTCCTATTTCAACTTCTTAAATTCTTACTCCACTGATTAGGTTACAACCCTTTCATACATTCACCAAACTGATTCTCGGTTACTGTCTCTCCTATAGGTACACAGATACAAGCTACCTCACTTGCTTTTCCATGTGAACTGAAAAGCCCTGTCTACTTAAACTGCTAAAACAGCTTTAAGACTTCTTTCTAGCTCCATTAGTCTGGCCGGCCACAAATTAAACTCTTGCTGGTATTAAACTGTTCTTCAGAACTAAACCTAATTGTGGCCTCAAACCAGTCTTTCTACATATCACAGAAGTTCAATTTTTTAAAAACAATTTCATCAACTAACATCCCAGGCAGTTAATCAAACCAATTAGTTTAAGTCACATTCATTCTTGGAAAAGACATTCCAATACTGTTCAAAAATGACTGACTTCTTTAGAAAGAAAGATACCATCACAGGACTAAAACACCAAACCCACTTATCTCTGCTTTAAAATCCAAATTCCCAAAATGATGATAATATATTTTTAAGTTTTTAATCACAGTACCTTTCGAATGATACAAGTGGTTCCTCCTTGACCTCATCATCACTGAAACCACTCTGGAAATAGAAACATTTTAATAACAAAACTGTTGCACTACCATCTTCAGTATTTGAGGAGGTTGCGGCAGAAAGGAAAGGAGAGAGAAAGAAACATATTCAGAGCTTGACTAGAATTGTCCTGGTTCCTACTTCAAATCACAACAGCTCAGCATCTTGATGCAGTGTCTCACTTTTGCCAGTAAGCAAATGAGCTGGAGACTGCACTAACAGACAACTCGTAATCAAAATTTGCCTGGCAAGAAGTATATGTTTTTCCACCATATTACACATTCTAGTTTGCAACCCAAATTGTTACTTGTTCAAAGACTGAGATCCTACAACCAGCTAAACAACACATCAAAAATACTAGTCATATTTACAATGTACCACTTGAAATAAAAAACAAAGATTTCAGAACATAAGCTACAGATAACTGACATTGGGATCCCGATTAAATTGTGCAGATGTGCATCATGACTAGTTATTTTTAGCTGCTGCTCCAGATTTGCTTATTTTCTGCAGATATAAAACAGACAGAAATGTAAACTGGAACCTCATTTACCAAACTTGCTGCTGCTCCTCTAAAAAGATTGTTTAAAAACAGCATTGCTATCTCCCATTTCACCCAATCTTGTACTAAAGCTAGATTCAAAATGGCTCCAGAGACTGATTACGCTGTGCGGACCTGGATGCAAAGGTGATGAAGTCTGAATTTTGAAAAGTATGGAATTAAAAAGTCTGAAAACCCTCAAATCATTGTTGGTCAGTCAATAAGTAAAGTGTCCGTTAGAGAAAGAAACTTGATGTGCTAATCTGGTCTAGCGTACATACAACTCTAGATCCACAGCAATGTGAGTTGACTCAACTGTCCTCAAATAGCCTAGGAAGCTGGTGTATGTCTCAAAACTGAAATGACCACCTGGCATTGATGTAGGTACTAGAAACTACAATGGCAAACTCAGTTCTGTCAACATTGCAAAGTCCACCTTACTAACATCTGGGACTAGCACCAAAATTGGTATGGTTGTCTCAGACAAAAATCAAGCAACAGCATGACATATTCATATTCATCTAAGCATACTTACAAAATCCCAGCCAACACCATCATCATCCCTGGTTTTCAGAGGTGGCAGAACCATGGTACGTAGTCAGGAGTGAAGTGCACCAGGGCCCTCAACATTGACTCCAGACCCCACAAAGTCTCAAAAGTATCAGGTCAAATGTAGGCAAGGAAACATCGCGTTGATTACCATGTACTGCCCCTCCTCAGCTGATGAATTATAGAAAAAGGCAGCTCATGAAACCTTCTTTGCCAGTCAATGTGACCATGGTTGCTCCTCTCTCTCTTCCGATACCCCTTGACACATTTAGCCTGTACAAATCTATTGCTCGCTTAAAAATATTTAGTGACGGCTTCCTCAGCCTTCCGAGGTAGAGAATTCCACAGGATCATCACCCGAAGTGAAAAAAAATTCTTCATCCAAGTTCAAAATAGCCTAATGTTTACCTGGAGATTGTGACCTTTTGCATTGGACCCCTGACTAGTAAGACATCATCCCTGCATCAACTCTTTCCAGTCCTTGCAGAATTTAAACAATTATCTCCCCTCTCATTCTTCTAAACTCAAAAGAGTAATTGACTCAATCTCTCCTCAGATAAAAAATGTGCCATCCCAGCAGTGTGGTGAAATCAGTACTTTTCCAGCTTGACCACCAGGTGGGAGAAGTATGAAAGGGGTCAATGGTGCAGAATATACTCTCGGTGGAGGACTTCATTGTTCATCACCAAAAATGACTTGACAGCACCAAAACAAACTGAGCTGATCATGTCCTAAAGAATACAGCTGTGGTGAAGGAACCAAGGCAGAAAAACAGTTGATCTCATGTTTTACCATATTGTCTGCCGAAGATACATCTGCCCATGAAAGTATTGGTAGAAATAACTGTTGCATGGCCCTTGTGGACACAAGTTCTGTCTTCACATTGAGGATACCTTCCATGGTGTTGTGCGATAGTATCACCATGCTAAGTGGTATAGATTTCATGAATTCATAGATGTCAAGAATTCATGAGGCAAATTAGGTCTTCTGCAGAATTCTACTCCAACACAACCTACAACTTCGTGGCCTGGCAGATCCACACTCTAGGGTATCCTTAACAATTAAGCCGAATGTTAAGCTCTGACACAGGGCCACATGAAAGCTTTCCAAAGAGATGGGAGTCATGCCTCAATAAAAGGAAATCTGAAGTATGTGACCCTACCAAATACACAGTGGACAATCAAAATGTCCACGTTCAACTGAGAGTAGACTTCTGCCATTAAGTCTCGATGACATGCATTCCACAATCTCCCTTCCACACAACAACCTATATATCCTTGAATTATATTTCTGTATGAAGATAAGGCAGTTGCTGTGGGAATAACTGCACCACATGGACTGCAGTGGTTAAAGGTAGCAGCTCACCACTACTTTTTAGGACAATTGCTGTTGGGCAATAAATTCTGGCCCAGTCCAGTCAACGAACCCCAAATTCCCTCAATACAAAATATACTGCAGGTTTTTGGGTGTGCAAATGGATAAAAAAAAGGGGACGAATGCAATGAGATCAAGAGCAACATCAGCCTAGTCACCATTTAGGAAATTAAGTCAGTAACCATGGACTGACATACAAGAAATTTAAGCAACTCAGCAAGGCTTCTTTGAGAGAACCCTTCAAATCTGGAAATTCTACCACATAGAAGGACTAGGGCAGAACAGGTATGAAACAACCACGACCAGCAGTTTTCATCATGCAGGGGTGATCTACATGAGCAGAGAATGAGATTGTCGATGTACTAGATTAAGTTAGCATTTATGGACTACTTTTACTTACTGAGACACGTGATGCTGCCCTTGCTCTTGCTACAGACTCTCTCTCTTTTTCTGCAGCTTTCCGCTGTGCTGCCTGGAAGTTGTTCAGAGCTACAGAAAATTCATTCATGAGTCGTTCCTTCTGGATTCGCTGCTGACGCTGAAGTTAATAAAGAAACATTTAGACTTCAAAATTTTCAAAAATGCATGACATATTTTACATGCTTAACCCTCAACAATGCATGCTCTAAAACAAAGTTACGGATTTAATGATTTTAAACCCGTTCTATTCTTCCATTCAATCTTCCATTTGTAGATTCTTCTACGAATATGTTGAAGAAATGCTCTTCTAGATGGGAGGCAAAATACCTTCAACTTCCTAAAATATTGTTAGCTCACTCCTATTCCACACTTTATTTAGGAAAAAAAAAAGATGAAGATGGATATGCTGCTGCTACGCAACAACGTCTCAAGTTTGCTGGATAACTTATACATGCAGGGACTGCCTCCACGAGTACCTATTTGATAAATTTACCAGAGACCTGCTGGGTCACATCTCAACAATTGTATCCAAACGCACAGACACTATAATAGAGCAGCCAATTAGTATGAAAAAGGGCTGTAAAGTTTGGTAATGAGCCAATGCTGATTTTGAATGTAGAGACTAGAGCCAGAAACATTGTATTACCTCAGATCATGTGTGAAACATTGAAGACCATATGTAACAATACAAAAATATCAAAATTTGTACTGAAACAAATCTGTTCAGGTGAATAGTACATTGGAATTTCTGAATACAAATTTGACTCCAAGCTCAGAATGACTTCTGCATTTTATTTCCCCATCCCTATAAAAGGGGAAAGCTATTAATTTCCAATTAACTGTCAAATGACAGGATGGTCTAAGCTGAGTTGAGCTTGTTTGCATCAACTGGGAGCTGTACTAAAATGGCAACTCACTTCCATTTTAGAATGACAAGACTACATGAGCGAGGGCGATCTTTTTTTTTGTCCGATTAGATTGCAATTGGGGTCTCACATGGTAGGCCACCTGTGCAACCAAATGTACCTGCTCACTGTATGCTAAAGGCAATGATCCAAGCTCCTTCAGGTGTTTATTGGTTTCCTTGGCAAGTTGATTTGTATAGTGTTGCAGCTGTTGCCTAAAAGAGGATAAAACATTTAAATAAAATGTAAGTTAAAAACTCATGTATTTTATGCCAAATAGATAATTTTCTAAAACCTAAGCAATCTAGTCAGACTAACTCTGATATAGATTGAAGCAAACTCAACCACAAACAAGTTCTCAGCTGGAAAACTATTTTTATACTTTATTTTTCTTAAAAGGACAACTTCATGAACACAAGTATATTGAAAGCCTGACTTTTTCCTCTACACCATTCCCCTTAGTTCCTTTGTTCTATCCCCTCTAACATGACTTGTCACAAGGATGGCGATATTGATTCAGCATCCCACTTCTTCACCACTACCGAACCAATACCCTCAAAAAGACCTTCACCCTCCATTATATTACCTGTCTCTTCCCCATCTCCCTATCTACTGCCGAAACCCCACATCCAGTCCCTTGTAAACTCCAGACTCAACTACGCCAATGCTCTTTTCACCGGTTTTCTAATTTTCATTCTCCATAAAATACAGCTCATCCAAAATTCTGCTATCCATATTCAAAAGTGTATAAGGAGCATGGTAAGTGGCTGAATACATAGCCTTGCAGAGCACTGGTTTAAGGATTCTGGTGAAGGTGGTGTTGACTGTGTGGCCAAATTCCACCCAACTCCATTTACAGGTTTGCTACCATTATTGTAGGTCAGATCTCAAACAATGAATAGACAGAGTACAGGGAAGAGATCGTGTGCTTAGCAGCATGGTGTAAAGGCAACAGTCAAGGTTAACGTCAGCAAAACGAAGGAGCTGGTCATTGGCTTCAGGAGGCAGAGTGGAGGACATGCCCCTGTCTGCAACAATGGTGCTCAGGTAGAGATGATCAAGAGCATCAAGTTCTTAGGAACGGTGATCACCAATAATCTTTCCTCACCACCCATGTCGACATGACTTGTCAAGAAAGCCCATCAAAGCCTCTTAAAGAAGTAGAGGCAAAGGAAATTCAGTATGTCCACACAGACACTTCCCAATTTTTAATAGATGCACCACCAAAGGTATCCTATCTGGATGCATGACAGCATGGTATGGCAACTACTCCTCCAAAGACCACAAGAATCTAGAGTTGTAAACACAGCCTAGTCCATCACACAAACCAGACTTCCATTCATTGGCTCCATCTATACTTCCCACTGTCTTGGGAAAGCAACCAACATAATCAAAGATCCCTCCCACCCTAGTTCCATCTGGCAGAAGATATAAAAAAAGTTTGAATACACGTACAAACAGATTCAAGAACACCTTCTTCCCCGCTGTTGTCAGACTTTTGAATGGACCTCTCAAAATGTTAATGTTGACTTCTCTCTACGCTCCTTCTCTGCGGCTGTAACACTATTCTGCACTATGCTCTGCTACCTTTGTTTGATACAACCTCTATAGCACGCAAAACACACTTCACTGTACCTCAGTACGTGACAATAAATCAAACTCAACATTTCAGGTACAGCGACCCTGCTTCAGAACTGATTGTAGCTAAGCAAAGTTTGGTATATATGCTGAAGATAGGGTGGGGGTGGGGAGGGCCAGAGCGGGTAGGAGTAAATATTAGGTGGAAATGGAGTACAGCCGAGAGCATCAGCGGAATAGTTGGGCAGACAAAGGAATGGCTAAAGAATTGTTTTGGAAAATGAATACCTGCTTATGGGGACTATTATTGGCTGACAATAGGTTGTTTGCGGTAGCAGCTCATGTGATGACAAGGCCTGGTGAGTGGAAGTTGGGTAAGGACATGGGAGAAAGTACTCAAGCCCTCAAATTGTTGAACACAATAGAGTCCAGAAGGTTGCAGAGTTCCAAAGCTGAAAATGAAGCCCAAGACAGATGCTGGCCAAGGAACACGGTGGTGTACTGAAGTGTGTGGAAGCTCTGGGTCATTTCTGCAGACAGACCACTTTCTGCAAAGTGGTCACCCAGTCTGCATTTTGTCTCCCCAGTGTACAAGAGACTAGATTGAATGAAGTGCAGGTAAACCGCTGCTTCTCCTACGGAGGAAGTAAATATGGTGTTGCACCTTCTGCAATTTCCAGGGTGCCATGGAGGTATGGGAGGTGTTGACAGTAGAGTAAACAGTCCCAGCGGAAGGCTGACAAGGGAGGGGAGGTGTTTGGTGGTGGCATCCCGCTGGATGTGGCAGAAATGGCGGCCAATGAACCTTTGAATGTAGATGCTGGTGGGGTGGTAGGTGAGGATAAACGGGACCCTAACACTTGTGATAGGGAGCGAGAGCTGAAGCGCAGGAGATGGGTGGGACACAGCTGAGGGCGCTGTCAAACCACAGTGGGGGTGAATCTTCGGTTGAGGAAGAATGTAGACAATTTGAAGGGACTCTTGTCCAAGATGGTAGCATTGGAACAGACGTGAAAGACAGAGAAACAGGGAGAGCCGAATACAGTCCTACAGGAAGCAGGCGGAGAGAATGTATAGTTAAGGCTACTGTGGGAGTCGGCGAATTTGTAGTGGGTATTGGTGGCCAGCCTATCCCCAGAAAAGAAAAAAAAGAGAGATGTCGAGGAAGGGAAGGAAGGAGTCAGAGATGGATCAGGTGAAGGAGAGAACGAGGTGGAAATTGGAAGCAAAATAGATAAACAACACCAATGATATCTTCAATGTACTGGAAGAACAGTTGTGGGCAGGGGCCAGAGCAGGATTGGCATAATCTATCACATATCTATTGCTGAGTAAAGACAGACAGAGTTGTTCAACACCCAAAGATTGAGCATGCAATTTCTTAAATCTTAGTCAATTCAAACCTAGACACTATAGCTCATTGAAAATTAATATTTAGAGCACCTTTAAATTATGCAATTTATACTTCAGGAGATTGCTTCTGGCCAAATCTTCTAACTTAAAATGCCATTGGTGTAATATCTACTTTACAAAATCCTCAAATCTGAATCAGAATTATTGATAAGCTTCCAACTTAAATATACTCATGCATGTACTATAAAATGGCACTCTGTTGTCTAGTTTAACTTTGAATCGCAAATATTTTAGTAAGTGTGGTATAAATTGGATATAACCTCACATAAATACCTATATACTTACAGCCTATCCTGAAGTTCACTTGTATCTTGTTGCGTTCCTAGTTGTTGCACAATTGTAGTTATCTGTGCAGCTGTGAATAATAGATGATTACTTTGATGTTGTTCTTAAATAACTACAACAAAATTCTAACACATTGAAATCTCCAATGCAATAAATTTAAGATTTTTGATCCAGCATAACCACTGCTGAATTATGCATAACACAACAATATGATTTTTATCTAATTAACTGCTTATTATTAAATGAATAAGTTGCCAAAGGCTTTAAACATAGTCTTTTCAACAGGTTGTTTTGTATTGTAGATGCTGTTTCTGCTCAGTGCCTGACTTATTCAACATGTAATTCCAGGTTTAAAGTGTTTATTTAAAACATTATCATGAGAGCAGCAGAACCAAGTAAGGTTTGGTATTAAAAAGCAATGTTTTTCATCTAAACTAAAAACTCCTTTTGCTCATTCATGTGTATTTTGTTGCAAAAATATATTTTATTCATAGAAGGAAATCTTTATGTACATACACAGTTAATGATGCCGTTCAGATCTATACTCTCTTTACTCAGAACCTATTTTCCCTTCTGGCTTCCGTTTTCTTCAGTAAACTTTCCTCGCAAATCAGTTCTACTTCTGGGACATCAACGCAATGTAAAATGGCGTGCACCATTCTCTATATTTACAATTAACCTCTAGGCTTTCAGCTGAGGCATCAACAGGGTCCAGTTATTGAATGGACCCACGTTATGCTTTAGCAGAAGGACCTTACCCAGTGGTCTTTCCCCACTATGCCTTGGTGGCAGCTGCCCCACGCTTTAGTGTATTCCTCAGCAAGTAACCCTGGACCTTGGAATGTGCCAGTCTGCACTCAGTCTGGGTCAACACTTTCAATTGGAAGACCAGCAAGTTTCAGGCAGACTAAAGAGCGTCTTTCACCATATTGATGGTCCTCCAGGCATAGTTGACATTTGATTTGTTGTGCGTCCCGGGAAACAGACCGTATAGCACATAGTCCCGCGTCACGGAGTTGTTTGGACAAAGCTTGCATTTCTCCCCAGACGAAGTGTGTGACAGTCTTGTTCCCTCCGCAGCCGCTTTGAGGGCAACGTGCAGTGGCGCAGAGAGTCCAGGCATGTATGAAAGATCTCACAGGCAGAGCCCTTCTAACCACCAGTCAAGCAATGCCCTGGTGCTAGTTGAACGGCTCTGGTTAGGAGGCATTCTGCCAAACGACTGACAGTCTGCACAGGGAATCACTCGACAAGATCCTCACGTACATAGATTAGAAAGGGATGGAGGATGGTGGACGGTGTAGAGAAGAGAATGACAACTTGTTCGACAATATCTCCCATCAAGAGATGCTAAAGCTATTTTGGTATAGGCAAGTTTAAATGGATACTTCTATTTGGATTAATTATCGAACTAAATACCACAAAGGAAACTGCACCAGTGATAGTATTAAGGTGCAGCTGCATACAGTTTAATATTTTTAGTCTTACAATATGTAAATTAGATGATTATGAAGCAGGTTTTGGGTGCACTGGACTTCATACTAACTTTATTTTAAAGTGTTATTGTAATATATAGCTATTTCTAAGGTTTTCTGTATGTTTCAAACCATTCTTTGATGGAAAGGGAGCACCATATTTACATAGTTAAGGCATTCATTTTTCTCTACATTTTGTCCTCTCCTTTAAAATATGGCAGATAGCCACCTCTGATGAGAGATAAAGATTTTCTTAAACAGACCATATCAATACTAACCCTTCCAATTACTGTTTCTCTTTTCTAAGAGACGTAAAAGTGGTCAGTTCAACAATGTAAACTATGTAGTGCAATTGCCCTGCATGTGATCACTGACCCTAAGCAGAATGGGGACCTACAATGTGATACCTAATTGATGATGGCTGTCGTTTGCTTTCATTCTTATTTGAAAGCAAATCTGTTACATGGGCATCACCAAGATCCTAGACTCAACAGATCCACACACATTCATTTGACACTTGAAATAAAAACAATTCAATGTGACGCACCTCAAATCGAACTACACTGCAAGACTGAGGTGTTGGGATCAGAAAGTAAACAGTGGATTTTAATCTTCTCATTTTAATACACTTTCACGAACTAACAATGTTAGAACCTATTTTTCACTTCTGGCTCCCATTTTCTTCAGTAAATTTTCCTAGCATATCTTTGTTCTACTTCTGGGACTTCAACACAACTTAAAACTTAAAAACTCTTGCACTTGTCACAGCCCAATATGGGTTCTTGTGCAAATGATACCATTTATTCACAGAACAGAATATTACAATCTTTTGGGATAAGAACGAGATTATTTTGTTCATAGTTTTTAGTGACTTATGTTGAAAAATACAATGTATGACTTTAAACTTACAGGCAGCTACGTAGCTATCTGCTAATTTGAATTCGTAACATCTTAAAGAATATCAGGCGATAATAAAATCCAAAGTCAACCAATACGTGTAGTACAAAGAAATTCAGTTATCCAATAATTTTTATTTCATAAAGGGATTTTGATACATAAAGACCGCATTTGCTGACTGAGGAGCACGTATGCTCGAAGGAGACACTTGAGTGTGTGCGCTGACAAACGGGATGTGTAGAAAAGTGTTTCAATTGTGCACCTATTTTCCACACATGCAGGGTTTCGATTGGGGTGGGGGTAGAAGAGATGCACAGTTAGGGCGCATGCGCAGATTTGAGATGAAGATCAACTATTGTCTAATCGAATTGTATGATCTTCATCCTGTATATCCAAGTGAAGTGAATTATAGAGAACTCTGAGGAAGTGGGGCAGGGAGGGAGGTGGTGAACGGGATCAAGATGGATGGGGATGGGGAGGTAGGGTAGATCCGGAACTGAGAATCATCATTTGGACCCTGAAAAGAACCACAGGAGGTATGGAGGGAGAGGTGTAGGTGAAAACTGGCAGGAGAATGGTTCAGGTAGGGGGCAACTCCCCAGGATGAATCCTGGTGGTCTTTTCTGCCACTGAACCCTGTTTCAATGGCACACCTGTTCTGTACACATATGGCACAATGATAGAAGGTCTGGAATCAACTGCAAGCATGTTTCCAAGTGAGCTCACAGCCAGTTTCCCTGCAGTTCCAGTGTTAGCAAACACTATCATACCTAACATGGAAAGATTTGCAGCATTATGGGTAGGTGGCATGGATGTGGAACCAGTCAATGGCTTCTTCAAACAGCTGGCAGACATGATAGGCTGAAGGGCATCTTTCTGTACTACATGATTCTATAATTTACTGACAAGTCACAGAAACATTTGGCAAAATGTAGCCAAATGTTAAGAGGCATGTTCTCTCCAAAAAAAGTTGGGGCTGTCACCAAATCTTCCAGTTTGTAATTCAGTTCAGACCAAAACATGCCCACTGAGAATAACTGAAATTGCACCTCAATTAAAGCAATATATTATGCTAGGTGCCTGCATTTTAACTGACATGTAACTATTTACATTTTCAAATGTTATTAAAATAGCTTATTAATCAGATCTGCTGCATATTGATCTTGCCCAAGGTGCAAGGAATGGGGAGTTTTCACTGCGTATACAAATGAAAACACTGGAAGCAAACATATAAACATTTCATTAACTTGAATTGGTAATAGATTTGTGCCAACCAGTTAATTTGGAGTTGTAAACTAATCTTAATGCAAGCAAGGTCTCTTTAGCTCAAAAGAAAAATTTCAGATTAATTTTTCCCCAAGATTTGTGCAATTACGACTTACTATTCTGAGAGATCTTCTGGATGTTGGCACTGCATGTTTGAATGAGAGCATTGAAGTCCCGAGGTTGAGAGTGGTAGTTGAAGCGATTGTCCTCAATTCGTCCGTAAGACATTGCTGCATAAAAGGTCAGTTCTAACCCACAGCAAGCAACAGTGAGGTGTCAGAAACGTCAGTACTTACTGCAGACCTGAGGATCAGAGTAGGGGAAATATTTAGAGCATGACAGACAAATTTCAAGTTCAAAGTCCTGGTTAAGACAAAATTAGTTGAACATAAAGCACAGCTGTGTTACTGGAATGAAGACCTCTATAACAAAGAGGCCTAAGGCTATTCAGTCCTTGAACCATTTGATATGATGACTTATCATCTACCTGCACTATCCAAATATTCCTTGATATCCACACATCTATCAAGCTGTCTCGAATATTCTCAAAACGAATGGACATCCAAAGCCTTCACAATCAAGAATTCTAAAAACGTACAAGTGTCCAAAGAAATCTCTCCTCATTTCACTCCTAAATTCTAACTCATTCTGAGACCAATACCTGAAATCCTGACTCCCAGCTTGGGAAATCAACCTCTCAGTACATACTCTATAAAACCGCAAAGAATTTTATATGTTTCATTCTTCAAAACTACAGAGAACATTAGTTTAAACTAGTCAGTCTCTCCTCATTTCCAGGAATTAAAACTGAACCATCACCTTTTAATGTAATTCTCTTCTTCCTTGGGTAAAGTAACCAAAAACTGTACATGGATTCGTCATTACAGTCTCACCAAAGTCATATCAACGTAGTTGAACCTCTAACCCATTCACCTTCAAAACAAAACAGTTGTTTTTTTTTAAATTTGCTGCCTGTACTAACATAAAATTGCGATCTAAAAAGTAGAGTTGCAAACGATATAATGTAGAACTTAGGGCAAGAGGTGACCATTCAGACCACCGCACTCATTACCTTGGCCAAAACAATGCACACCTTACTGAAATTGTGAATTTTTTTTTTTTTTTTTTAAAAATCAAGAGACATCTGTCATCTTGTTTTCAAATCAGCGGGAAGATGACAGAATTGCAAATCTCCAGACAGCAATATTGTCACATTACCTTCATAATAGAAGACAATCCACCCAAGACAGTGCATTCAGTGACAATTCACTTACTGCGATGAACCTTAATGCTCTGGAATGAATACAGACATACTGAAATCAAACACAAGTTACAGTCCCAGTATACACATCATACATATTAAAACATCTCAAATAATTCCAGATTGTCTCCCTTTTAGATTTTGAAATGCAAACAAACATCTAACTAAATAACCTGTCCCCAGATAGGTGATTAACACCAACTGCTCTGGCATTGTCAACCAAAGCACCACCTTAACATCTGATGCTAACAGATCATGCATCACCGAAATGGATGAGCTCAAGGTAAACCTAGAACAAGATGGGGTGGCAACAATGAGCCATTCTGATAATGAACATGAACCAATGAGGTATGCAAGGCCACTGTGCCTCAAATGAGCATTTACCAAACTTCTCCCAATCTGACCCCATTTTTAATCCCTCAGATTGAGAGAGATTCACAACAAAAGTTTGGAGGTGACTAGAGTTGTTAAGCAGGAGAGGCGGCTTCAGGTGTCGTACACAGAATTGGGTGGAATGGGGGTGGAATGGGGGTGAAAGGGTTAAAGAAAAGAGAGCAAGAGAGAGTGTATGTTGATGCGTAAGCAGACTTCCGACAAAAATAAACAAATACCTAAACCTGAGGGTTGTTAGAACAGCCCATTAGGCCACATCCACTGAAAAAAATTAAATGGGGCCTCACAGCTGTCAGACATCCGTCAAAGTTCCACTGCCACCATTTCTGCCTGAGCTTGCAACCCAAAATTTCTTATGATTCCACTGCAGTTATAACCCAGTTTGGAAACCCTGCCATAACAGATTAAAGCAAAAAGCAACAAGCAACAAGCAACAGATAATCCCATAGGTAGACAGATCCCTGTAAGAAAGTTCCAAAGTACTGCATTTGGAAAGATCTGCAGGGCACAGATGTTCTGGTCAACATTTTATCCATAATCCTTAGAAGAACTTGTCATTCACTGCTGCTCATAAGATTTTGTATACATGGTGGCTGCTGCATTAGATGGCAAATGAATCGTTTAAAAAGGAATTCATGACCCATCATATGATTACGTTGCCGTACTGTTGACCGCAGCTGTCCAAGAATCTCAAAGTTTTCAGGATAAATGTAGTATTTACTGTCCCATATTTTGCAATATTAATGATGACGAAACTGTCTACGTTCATTGGCAATACTCCAATGTAACTGACAGCAACATCTGGAATTGCGCTTGTCTGGGATAACATTTAAATTCAGTCACTGACATTGATTCCACATTTTCAGACTGAATCACCCAGATTGCAATCAATGAGAAATCAACCGAGTAAACCAGAACTTCTCCTTTTACACTTTAGTCTTGCTGCAATTGCACAAAACTCTCTAGCTCCGAGAAGGTAATTGTGGAATGTCAAATTTCTCTAAACGATTAAAAGAACTACAAATTAAGAATTTTTGAAAAATACTCCTGTCTAGCTTCCATCTAAATAGATATTTTGCCATCTGAAAATTTAAAAAGAATGTCAAGTAATTTTAACTTCCTGGTTTGATGCTGTCCAGAATATTTCAACGTGATTGGTTCACTGACTTAATTGGACCTCAACACATCCTCTGACTAGGCATTGGATTGAAATCGTCAGGAAACGCAAGAAAGATCCTGGAAGGCAGCTTGCTTCAAGGTCAGCAGGGCATGCCCTTGCTTCACTAATGACCACAAAATCCAGACAATTCTTGCTGCAAGACAGTCATTCATGCACACACAAAGGTTGTGTTTAGTAATTAAATAGTGAAATGAAATAGGCCATTTGCTGAAGCGTCAGCTTCACTTACATAAAGTCAGAGCTGTACAGCACGGAAACAGACCCTTCGGTCCAACTCATCCATGCCAAACAGATATCCTAAATTAATCTAGTCCCATTTGCCAGCATTTGGCATATACCTCTAGACCCCTCTATTCATAGACCCATCCAAATACCTTTTAAATGTTGTTCTTGTACCAGCCTCCACCACTTCCTGTCATATCTCATTCCATACATGCACCACCCTGTGTGAAAAAGTTGCCCCTTAGGTCCATTTTGAATCTTTCCCCTCTCACCTTAAACCTATGTCCTCTAGTTCTGGACTCCCCCACCCTGGGGAAAACACCTCGACTATTCACCCTATTCATGCCCCTCATGATTTTATAAAATTCTACAAGGTCACCTCTCAGCCTCCGACCCTCCAGGGAAAATAGCCCCAGTCTATTCAGCCTCTTCCTATAGCTCAAACCCTCCAACCCTGACAACATCCTTTTAAATCTTTTCTGAACCCTTTCAAGTTTCAGAACATTCTTCCTATAGGAGGGAGACCAGAACTGAACATATTGTTCCAATTTTTGTATGTAAAAATAGTGTAAAAATGTGAATACTGTGAAAGATGCAATGAAGTTTCTTTTCGAAATCCGAGATGGAGACTATCACTGGCTATTGACTCCTGGTTGTCTACTCTAGATTTACTCCTCTTGTGGACTTCATTTCCAATTGTTGAGTTTAGTTTCCCGTTCCACCTATTATTTTTTCAGAATAACACAAAGCGGAAAGGCCACCAAAACAGTAACAAATGATTCAGTTAGAATGGTTATCATAGGATCCCTACAGTGTGAAAGGAGGCCATTCAGCCCATCAAGTCCACACCCCTCCTCCAAAGAGCAGCTCACACAGACCAACCCCCTACCCTATCCCTGTAACCCTGCATTTCCCATGGCTAATTCACCTCATCTGTAAATCCCTGGGCATTATGGGCAATTTAACATGGCCAATCCACCTAACCCGCACTGTGGAAGCAAACCTATGAAGAGAAGGGGGAGAATGTGCAAACTGCAAACAGTAGCCCAAGGGTAGAATTGAACCCAGCTCCCTGGTGGTGTGAGGCAGCAATGCTAACCACTGAACCACCATGCTGCCCCAGTTATTATATAGGAGACTGCCATTTAGCCACTTTAGGCAGTGTTGGAACTCTGCCACAGCAATTTTAGCTAGTCGCAATTCCATGCCCTGTGGCCACCATAAACCCATCACTATGGTAAAATTGTCACAGATTCCCTTTTCCTACTTTTAAACCAATGAGCAAACGGCTATATGCTTGGAATTCACAAGTGCTACAATTCCAAAATTGTATAGATAATTCAAAACAAATATTAATTGCTCTAACCGACAGCACGATATTCTGTTGTGTCGCCATAATACCTTTAAAAGATGGAACTTCCACATGAAAAATTCAGCTGATAACTCTCTACAGCATTATATTTATGTAGTCACTTGTGAATAGGAAGTGAAAGTTCAATGTAAACATGAACAGGACATACTACCATTTAATTAGGCAAGTGATAGTTTGACAATTTGCTGCTGACAGGGCACATCCATCAGATTTATGCTCAGTCTGCTTTATTTCCCTGACTGCAATGTTTTTGCATTCCTTCGTAATTTGAAATTAAGAAAAAAAAAATCACAGTTCAATTCACAACCTGTGCCAAACTAGCCAATCTCAATGAAAACAGGGGCTCATAAGGAGATAATCCATCTAAATTCTCATTCCAAATCATTAGTTAATGAAGTTTACTGTTAAATGTACACATCAAGGGAGGACAGAACTGGTCTCAGCTGTATATTAAAATCAAAACGATAAAGCAGAAGTCACTTTCAGGAAGGGAAATATAGGAAGAAAAATCTTTACCTTCATTGTTTGTGAAGTATTCATAAATACAGGATCTTGCAATTTACTGATGAATTCAGAGACCAGGAATGTGGTCATTAACAACTTTGAAAATAAAACAACTGCAGCTACTTTCACCTAACAGTTCACACGGCATGACATGTTGAAATACAGGAACAGTCCACTGACTTCAGTGTGATGTTCTTTCAACTCTCTGGAGAGAGCAGATTGTATTGAGGCAATGTCCTACATTCAACTTGGAATAAGTCTTTACCTTGCAATACTCTTCCAAACCAATCATTTTTCCCAAAGTCAACTTCACTCCATTAGTTGATCAGTTCTAGAAAATACAGTAACTTGATTAAAAAGAAAAGGCTTTCACAGCTTGGTAGACTAAATGGCCTGCTCTGGCCAAATAGCATCCTCACCTGATTCAAAACCCACCTTAGGATCCAAGCAATCCAAGTTGATATTCCTTTGTAATTTGAAATTTAAAAAAAAAAAATCACTCTGCTCAATTCACAACTTGCGCCAAACTAGCCAATCCAGTGTATGCCTGACAGCAT